TGGTAATGGTAATGGTAATGGTAAAACATTCTTCGCCGTGGTAACGGTCATGGTAAAGAAAAAAATCACATCGATGGTAATGGTATGGTAAATGGTAACGAAAAAGTCACGGTAACAGGACTCTACTGGACATATAACTAGTGACAGAAGATCGAGATTAACAACAGATAACGCTGACACACTATTGTTTTTAAATAAAAATATGAATTGGGTTTGAATAATTCTCTAGTAGACATTCACCTTTTACTCTGTTTTTGTTGCTTAATAAAGTTGCTATATTCAATTTTATCGTCTACTGTTCTTTCCTCCTTATTGGCTGTTACGTTTCTTCGTTCAAAGTATATAAGAGAAAACAAATGTTACGTTTGTTACGTACGTTTGAGCTCTTTTTCTCTTTCTTTTCTGACGTGTAGTCATATATTCGTTATTCGAATATTCTTTACCCGTTATAAATGAAACATAGTTTGCTATAGTGAATAACGAATAATCGTTCGTTCCTTTCTTTCGAGGTTTACGTATTACGGCCCATCTCTACCTGCAATCCTGTATATCGGAAGTAATTCGAATGGCGCGTACATACGCGGCATATGGGATATTCTTTTTTATGTGTTTGGGATGAGAGCTGTCAAACGGTAATATGTAAGGTTGTACGGCTGTCTTTCAATATACCGTCGTCCTCGCACGTGGTGCGCGTACATGGACAGTAACGTCCAGATAGTCTACCCGCTTCCCAATTTCGTGCGTGAGTTTAATATTTTCATCTTTCTGATTTAATTGTTGTAGCTGGTGTTTGATATCACAAAAAGATTTGTTTGTTGTGATGAAAATATCGTCTCTAAATCTCACGTACAATTGGCCATCCTGCTGTTGTTGTTTTCGAAAATCCTTCTCCCACTCGTACATGTACACGTTCGCCAGGACCTGGGTAACAGCCCTTCCCATGGCTCCGCCTCTTGTCTGTCGAAAACATTTTTTGTCATGTGCCAAAAAAGAGTTTTGTAGTACATGACGAGTGAGAATGGCAAATCTGACAATAGAAATATTTTTAGTTTTAAAATTTTCTCTTTCTGCAAGTAATCGACATAAGGCCGATACAGTTTGTTTTTGAAGAATCATTGTATACAAGTCTGTTATATCAAAATAGCACTCCACACTGATTTTTTTCTCTTCTGATTTTTTGTTAATAAAAATTTCGAAAATCAGCTTGAGATTTCCATTCACAGACGTACAAAAGATAGAACCGCATCACCACTTATCATCGTCATCCAATCCATCAGTATGAAAGGGAAGAAAACACTGAAAAGCATGAAACGTATGAAAGGGATGAAAGTAGGATAGGCGTGAAAAGTATGAAAGGGATGAAAAGTATGAAAGGGAGGAAAACTATAGAAGGCGTGAAACGGATGAAAAGTAAGAAAAGGATGAAAGGGATGAAAAGTATGGAAGGCTTGAGTAGTACAGGGGTGAGAGTGAAATATTTGAAGTACCTGCCAGGTTTTTCAGGTGAACGTCTAAAACTTTTCAGGTTTTTTTAAAAAAAAAATTCAGGTAATCAAAAAACATTTTTTCTCGACACATTGAGCAATTCTTTTGTAAAAGTATTCATGGTACTCTACTTTTTTGTTCTTTAGGGATATCTTAAATCGTTTTCCAATATAAAACATCTCTAGACAATATCTTCGTACGCAGATATAGAAAAAAGTATTGCTGACACATTAAAGACGACATAGACGAAGCAGTGCATATAGAAGGATGACAATACATAAGTCATACTACTTAGTCATATATATATATACGTACATAATTTTTCTTTCAAGCAATGTGCACTATATTCTTTCAAAAATAATCTGTAAAAGAAAATGCTTTATAGTGTTTTTCTTCTGATGATATAAGTTGTTCTTCTGAATAAAGTAAAAAGCATGTAAGAAATTCACAAAACACTACAGATATTTATTTTTGTATTGCAATTGAGTGAAGTCAATAAATAATGCCAGGAAATGAGAGTGCGTTTCGACATGAGTGGTTAGAGAGAACTGATTCAAGTGGTTTTAAATGTAAGTTATGGCTGAAACCAGGAGCGTCATCAACAACATATACATGTATGTTGTGTTTTCCTAATGAATCAAAAATATGTTCAAATGGTGCATGGTCAGATATCAAAAAACATTTTGATGGTGCGAAACACAAACAAAAGCAACAGCAGCTTTTAGTAAAACTCAACCAAAACTGATAATTTCAAATGACAATAAAACACGGACAATCAATACCGAACCAAAGTTTACATTCGATGATCTCGTAACAATTTCAGAGATCAAATGGGCAATGAATGTTGCTCAAAAGGGGTATAGCTATCGATCTGTCGATGATTCCTCAGCCATTTTCAAATCAATGTTTCCTGATAGTTCAATAGCAGACAAATTTTCAATGGGACGACACAAATTATCCTATACAATTCAATACGGTTTGGAACCATACTTTCATGATATGATGGTTGATGATTTAAAAAGATCAAATTCATTTTTTTCTATATTAATTGATGAAACAACAACGGTACAAGTCAAGAAACAATTCGATATAATGATACGTTATTGGAGTGAACTTAAAAAACGTGTTGTTATTATTTATTTTCATAGGTAAGACTTCCACATTGTGTTTTATGTAAAAACTGTGTTAAAGTTTAATAACTGTGTAAAAATTTCGATACCTTTTCACTTCGCATCGTGCCCCATGAAGTCTAAGTCATAGTGCAACCATAAGGTATTATATAATATCTTGCATCTATTCTAACATGATGTTATTTGTATGATATTTCTAGTGAATTTTTTGGCCATGCAACAGCGGAGCATTTGAAAACTGCTTTAATTAATAGTCTCGAAGCTAACGGAGTTGATTTGAATAAACTGTTAACACTTAGCATGGATGGCCAGAATGTGAATTTATTATTGTTCAAATTAATGAATGCATATCTGACAAATAAAGGAATAAAACAAATGATATTTATCGGAAAGTGTAACATTCGCATTGCTCATAATTCGTTCAGACATGGTCAGCAAGCTGTTACGTGGGACATCGATGATATTGTTATTGATCTTCATCAGTGGTTCAAACATTCATCAGCGAGACGAGAAGATTACAAAAAAATGGCAAATGAAATAAATGAAACGGCTAAGATGATGCCTAGATTTATTGATAGTAGAGTAGGTATTCGATCTTCATTTGACCAGATGTTTATATACGTAGATAATAATTAATAATATCGTTATTTCTCAAGATCTAACATACCACTTCTCCTCTGCTAATTAATTTACAATGTGCTCTGAACATTTTAGTGGTTACAACTATGCAATGTGTTAGATCGAATTATTCAACAATGGGAAATGTTAAAAAATAATTTTTTGTCCTATTTGCCAGAACATGGTAAAACATCAATTAGAAATAATAAGCGTTATGATCGAATAAAAAAAACGTTTTCTGACGAAATAATATGTGTTCGAATATTGTTCATTCGTAATTTCGATTCTGATTTCAATCGATTTTGTACAATATTTCAAGAACAGGCACCATTAATTCGTGTATTGTATGATGAACTATGCGAATTGTTAAAAAATTTATTGTTACGATATCTAAAACAGGATGCTATTGATAAAATCCATGACGAAAATCTTGTAAAAATAGATTATAATAAAACCGAAAATAGATTATCTGAATCTAAATATGATATTGGAGTTGATGTACGTCGTGCATTGAATGAAATTCAAAATCCAACAGTGAAAACTAATTTTCTTAAAGATGTACGTGTTATATTTGAATCTTGTACGCAATATTTAGTTACACATTTACCACTAAAAAATGCTGTATTGCGTGATATGCAATGTGTACATCCTTTAATGAAAACAAAACCAGCAACACTTGAATGCATATCACGTTTAGCATATCAGTTGCCAATTATTGTGAGCAACATGGATATTGACGTTGTCAGAATGGAATGGAAGCAATATCAAATGGAAGAAATACCAAAAAATTGGTAAAAGATGTTCATAAACTGTTCTGTGTTTGTGTACTGAGTTACATATCCGAGAAGACGATCGTTGTTATAAGTGTTTGATCTCTTTAGGTATATCGAAAAAGAATGGACAGACACAGACGGTAATTATCATACGAAATATCAACGTATTGATTTCTATTGGTTACAAATAAGTGAAATACATACCACCCTTGGAGCACCAAAATATCCATTGTTAACTAAATTACTCAAAAATCTATTAGCTTTCTCGCACGGTAGTGCTGATGTCGAACGGGGTTTCTCCCTAAATAATTATTTACTCGACGACTTTCGTTCAAGTTTAAATGAAAAGTCAATAATTAGTTTGAGATCAATTAATTCTGGAATACTGTTTGAAGGAGGTCAACCCGAAGCGGTGAGTAGATGCAAGATTATGCATACAACTGAGATTAAAACTATAACTCTTTCTTGTATTAGATCAAAATAACGAAGTCAATGCTCACAACGGTTCGGCAATCTTATTCAAAAATGCAATTTGAACAGAAAAAACAACAAAAACCAGCAACGGACACTAATACCAATAATCAGCTCAATGAAACACATTTGGCAATAAAAAAGGTGAACAAAGAAGAATCAAGTTTGTTGAAACAACAAATTGAATTACAAAAGAGACTATTTGATGCTAGAACAGTTCTATCAGAAGGACACACTCGATTAACAACAGCAATCAAACAAAATAAAATGGTTGATATTACAGTTGCTCATTCCATTATCGAAACAAGCCAGAAACAAATTACAGACGTATCAAATGAACTAGAACTAGTAACAAAGTCACTGAAAAAAGGACTTAAACGAAAAGAATCGTTGTTAAAAGATGCTGCTGATAAAAAATTAAAAAAACATTTATAGTAAACATGTTTGTAGTAATATTTGTATTAGTAGGATTTTTAGTCATATTTAGGGTAGGATCTGCAGATATTATGATATGATTTGTATTGATATATTTAAAAAAGGCATTTATAATAGAATTGGTTTTGATTTCAGTAGGAATCGAAGAAAATCGTCTGTAGTATAAAGCTTTTTGAAAATTTCAGGTATTTCAGGTTTTTTGCCCAAAAGTAAGGTGATTTTCAGGTTTCCCAAACATTTCAGGTAATTCAGGTATTTCAGGTGAAATCTCACCCCTGGTAGTATGAAAGGCATGCAAGGCATGAAAAGTAGGAAACGCACGAAGGGGTTGGAAAGCATGAACTTTATTGTAAGGTTACCGTTGTTATCCGTTAAAACCGATGTGTCGACTGACTGGGTTCGTTTTAACAGAGATTTAAATAATTTCCACCATGGCTTTTTCGAGGCATTTGTTTTTCTTATACGTTGTAATTACTTTTGTTTTTCGTCAGTACGTGCTTTTTGAAATTCATTGTTTCCTTTCTTGTATCTTTCAATAGAAGAGGGGGTGGAATTGTCGTTATATTTTCGGTATAGACGTTTTTTCTTTCTGTGCAAAAAGCTTTAATGTTGTTTAAATCACAGCTGATCATTCGAGTAAAGTCGAATAATTTTTGATGGAACACACTTATCAACTGTCTCTAATATGCTAGATTCCAATATCAGTACTTTTTCGTTTATACAAGTAGAGTTATAGAAAGAATAGCAAATACGTTAGGAATTTGTACTAGGGTGTAACGAAAGTATTGCCAGTCTGTAGCATTGTAATTATACATTGTTCGTGTTAACAGTGGAGAACAGTCGATAAATGAAGCAATTAAAATTTTAGGAATTTTATGATCACAATTCTTACGCAAAGGATCCTCCGCTATTATTTTATTAGTTATAATGTTAGAACTGTTGAATACAAGATCGAGCGTTGTTTTTGTTGGCCGCCACTACTTATTCTTGTTGACTCTCGTGCTAATTGCTTGAAATTAAGTATCTCACAAAAGTCAAAAAACTTTTTTCCGGCAACTGTAGAAGGCTGGGCATCACACCAGTCCTCACAATACGCGTTGAAATCACCTGTTAAAAGAAAAGCATCATAGTTTTGAATTCGAAATACGTCGTAAATTGTTTCTGTTAGAAACTGTATGTATTCATCTGTCTCATCATTGCCCATACTTGGTGTACGATAAATCACTGAAAAGAAAACTCGATCGATTTTTGGAATTAATATCTCAAAAAACATAACCTCAAAATTTTTATTTTCTAGATGTGTTAATCGTTTTGTAGTTAGATGCTCCTTAAAATAAAGCATACATCCTCCTCCTTCTCGATCTCTAGCTAAACGTTCAATGTTATATCCAGTAATAGAAATGTCGGCGTCTGGAATCGTAGAATCAAGCCAAGTCTCTGTGATCGCTATGAAAGAAGATTTTGATTGATTGCAGAGTGCAGTTAGAAGATTAAATTTTGTTACAGGACTAGTAGGATCTTTGTTTGCCTTAGGTGTCATACTCCTCAAGTTCAGTACAAGTATCTCCATTGGAGATGACACGCCAGCAGTTTGTTTTTTATTCATGCTAGCCATGTTCGTCAATTAATTTTGGACTGATATTCCCTATGAACCTATCTAACTCCTTAAGCATGTAAAATAAATAGAAGAGAAAAAATGGAAGCGAAATAAAGTTAGTTGAAATTGTGAAAGATAGATGTAGAAGAAAAGAAAACGAACGAGAAGAAATCTGACACCACACCATCACGGAAAAGGGCGAAAAATTTCTACTACAAAGAAGGATATGTATAATAAAATAAACGTGTGTTTTTGAAATTTTGCCTAACTAACTTTGCACTTATCGTTACTATAGAAAAGAAATTTTGAAGAAATAAAACAAAACAAGCCGAACTCAGCTGTAAAGTTTTGAATGGCTGAAGATCAGCTGATCATCAAAAGCTATGAATCGAAATAAGTAGTAAAGCAATGAACTAACCGTATACTTGATGTCCAATACGTAGAGTCAACTGATCAATAATGCTAGGTTTATCCCGTACTGGGAGACTTCTTCGCAAATTGTGTTTTACTGCTCTCGTCTAACTATATTGAAAATCTGGTGATTTCCGAAAACCTGCTAAGCAGTTTTTAGGTTACCTACACTTTTCGATGGTCACATGTTTCACCAGTATCTAGGTTGCGTGGTTTCTACGTTTCTCACACTTTCCCGTTGTCATATCTCTCAGAAGTTTTTCGCTTTCTGACATTTTTCCACTGTCATATGTTTCGCAAGCGTCTAAGTTTCAAGATTAGCAGTTTTTCAATATGCTTGTTCCAGAGCAGTAGAACACAATTTGGCAAGAACTCTTTTTAGTACGGGATAAACCGAGCACAGCCGAATTCAGGTGACATAGGAGATTCCATTGATTCACAGTGTGGTTTCAGGAAATAGTTTCCTGGCATCCCTATGTAGGAAAATTTGTCCCAAGCAGAGACAGCCTATTTCTTAATTAAACATCGTCAGGATCTTCATGTACACAAGAGTAGAGAAAACAAACAATAATCAGTAACATGTTTTACTGTTCCTTATGTCTATCAACTTTTTATTTCTTCATGAGTGGTGGTAGTTTTCTGGTGGAAGCTCAATAAGGAATCGGGAGAGGTCTAGAAGGAGGACGAAAGAGTGGATTAGTTTTCGTTGTAGTATCTGTTTGAGGTAACTCTCGTGTGCAACGTGACAGTTTTTCACAGCGTTGATCACTCCGTGCATATATACACAAGGCAGCGCTTGTCTGCATTTTAGGAACATATATCTGCGGACGAACTTATATCAATGACTTTGCGTCGAAGACAACGTTCACACCGCCCTTCGATCGGCGTTTGCTACTATCCACAATACACGGTGGGCTCTTCCCAATGGTGAGATTCTGAAAACCTATTACTCTGCAGGGAAACATTTATGCTATTTTATGCTACGTGCATAAACGTGTCCTATGAAGGAGAATATGTCCTGAAAGTTTCAGCTTCGATGGACATTGGCGGAATGTGGGGGGCTAATTTTACTGAAAAACCGTTTTCAGGAAACACATACTCTTCGAAAAACCTCAACTTTCTTATGTTTTTTATGGATCGATAGCCTCGATACTGAAAGTTTTTCGGTGGTGCGCAGCGCCATCTGTCACTCTGCACATCAACTGGTCACTGTGCTTATCTATTTGATAACTACTTGACCAATGCGTGTTTTATGGACAGAGAGCCATTTAACGGTTGACGACTATCTCCTACAGTGGAAAGAATATTTTGGGCTTTTTTCTCTTTTACAAACAAGTAACACTCGCTAGCTGACCGGCTGACTAACGACTAAACATGGACATTTCGTTTTAACTTAATATTGATTCTAAGTCATCTTGATTTTTGCACCAGCTTGAATATTGTCTTCTAATATTTTACCGTACAGATAAGATATCTGTTTTGAACGACATTTTCTTGTTTTCTCAAATTTTTCTGAATATCTAAAACAGATAATGCATATAGTAATGTATCTGTACGAAACCAGGTCTAGCCCTAACGTTGGCAGAGTACCGAATTTCTTTCGTTACAGAAAACTTAAAGAGCCCAAACACATCGCCGTATCTGCCGACGCAACTATTCTTTATCTTTCTCTTCTATATACTGTGTAATAAATGGATCGGCAATCAGTGCGAGAGAAGAAAAAGCCGAACAACATCTGTGGAGAAATATTTAATCCATTTTAAAACAGTCATACATGGTTTGCATTGACAACTTTGGTAGTGTGAACAGCCACACTTCTGCTCATCGCCAGTAGTAGCAATAGACCTTTTAATTGCTTTTAAGAGCAGTGGGGAATATATTAATCCATACTCCAGAAAAGATTTCTATCCATGAACTTTGTTTTGTTGCCGAGAAGTTAATGTTTTATCGTTATTGCTCGTTTTGTGGACAACTAGTAAAATGAACATAACTCGGTGAAAAAGACCTAAGGGTCCAAATCCAATTAAAGTTTTTCTCATACTCACATAGAGAAAGAATTGAGATAATTTAAGTTAAATTGATTATAAGATGTGGGTACACTTTTCTTTTCTCTCACCATGTTGGTATTTTGTATTTCTTTTGATTCATCTCCTTTTTTCTACGCTTTCTTGTTATCTATACTATCATTGTAAATTCATATTGTTTAATATAAATTTTGACTTATGAAGCAGTTACTATCTATCAAGGCCTTTTCCGGTTTGTTACTTTCTCTCCAGATAACAAGAAAGTGTAGAAAAAAGAGGATGAATGAAAAGAAATACAAAATACCAACATGGTGAGAGAAAAGAAAAGTGTACCCATATCTTATAATCAAAGTTTTTCTCATACGCACATACTCTATCTACCAACAAAGGATGAACATACTGTCGGAGTTCACTTTACGGGCAACTCGAGAAGAGTAGGAGATGAAGTCGTCATTTGTGATTTGAGAAGGCAATTAGATTCGTTCATTTTTTTGTACAATTGATTACGATAATAGTGCTCTGATACTTGTCTATGGAATTAAGTATCAGAGCACTATTATCGTAATCAATTGTACAAAAAATGAAGGGATCTAATTGCCTTCTCAAATCACAAATGACGACTTCATCTCCTACTCTTCTCGAGTTGCCCGTAAAGTGAACTCCGACAGTGTGTTCATCCTTTAGTGCTCTGATACTTAATCCCATAGACAAGTATCAGTATCATCCAGAAATGCTTTTTAGTGATTTGGATAAACTGTATCGTATAGCGAGCTCTTATTGTCTATGTCTTTAGCTCTGAAACCTGTTTCATCGTGGATATTTACTTGAAGGAAAAAGAAGTATTAATAGTACAAGATAAAAACGAGAAACATGATCAAAATAATTAAATGACAAAAAACATAAATAGAAACACCCATAAGAAAACTACTAGTAGACTTACTAATAAGTAATATCACTTGTACAACTCTGACTCCGAAACCATTTGTTCTAGCCGCCTTCAAAAGCATCTACACAAAAGTCACCACGTTTTGACATTATCAGCATTTCTTGAAGATATCGAATCACATTTATACGTCTGGTGATAGATTGTGTAGAGCGGTTGGGAATGAAACAGCATATTCACGGCTGTAGACACACACAGATGTCGGTAACATATAATGAGTTTAACAACAGAAAATAAACTGTAACAAGAATTAATAAAAAGAAGTACATCAGAAGTCGGATACAGCAACTGAATGATCATTATCAATGAGTAAACGAAATAAGTTTGTGAAGTAGAAGAGAAAGTATATAATTAGAAGAAAAGTATTAACAGTACAAGGAGAAAACGTGAAACATGACCACAATGATAAAACATAAATAGAAACACATAAAAAAATACTATTAGGCTTACCAATAATTAATATCACTTTTCTTGTACAATTCTGACTCCGAATCTTCTAGCCCCCTTCACAATCATTCAGTCAAAAGTCAAATCCTTTTTCTCTAATTTTTTCCGGGCCATATCACAATTTCGAACGGGATCTGTGTTGGCATGTGTTGATGTATTCGTGATATCAATTGTGGACATAATTGGTGAGTGAAATAGTTATATCTTTTTACAAACATTATGAATGCCTACTTCGTTCACTTTTTCTAAACATAGATAAAAGTAAAATAAATATAATAATGTCTGAAATTATCAGAATGATATATGGTTGGTTTTACCCTTTCTTTTACGCTTTTTCTTTTCACGATTAAGAACATTGCGTACTTTGTTATTATCTACCCATCCTTTTTGTAATGCTTGTTCATTATTATTCAATATTTCTGTTATCAATGTTTGTTCTTCTACATTAACGGTTGTTGCTGGTTGATCCACAAACATTATCTGATCATTTGTAAGGTCGATTAATTGGCAATCATCTGAGCACACATAACAAAGAAAAAAGCATGTATGTTCAAAATAAATATAAAAGCATTCGACGCAATATACTTTGATAATCATAATAATGTCTTTTTAGACACATCATATGTCTATGTGTTTTTTTAATTTATAACTCCTCTAAAGTACACTCTTCCCACGTCAGACTCGACCGGTAAAACGATGAGTACCTAATATCACGTCAAACGGATGCTGTGAACTCCAAGATTATTTCCGATATACACGCTGTTGTCAACAACGATATGATGAAGAACGACATCATAGAGAAGCCTAATGATCCTAACATTAAACGACTCTCTTCATTGAAATCAGCACACAGACTGACAACAAGATTGTTGGAGTTTTGTACACAGCTGTCATGAAATCAGCGAAAACATTATTAAAAGTATCAGCGATTCAACAAAATCTACAGAATATGATGGTTCGAACGAAGAGGCAAGAGCTATTTAATCTTTTAGTTGTTGATACTAAGGGGGAAAAAGAATGATCTCAAATCGTCAAATATAGTCCTCATCTGTAAAAATCACGTCAAAGTTGACAAACGGCTACTTAATGAGCTCGATCTGCAGACGATGGTAAAAGGTTGTAATTACAAGAAATACCGCGTAATATACAATTACATAGACAATAAGGTTGTTTCTATTGGCTTGTATGTGAATGAAACAGCATAAGTTTCAACAAAGCAGACTTCTAACGTTAATTTTTCATCGATCTTCATGGAATTGCGTTTTTTATTTGAATTCAACCAAATAAACTGTGGTCGAATCTTAAAATTCGAATTCTGACTGTACAAAATTTTGATTTTCAACTTTCTCCGCATAGCTTTAAAAGTTGATCGAATTTAAACTTTCTTTGTAACATATATTTACATATAAACGCTACCAAGTGGAAAACACGGAAACTTGAAAAGGAAACTTTTATTGAATAAGAAATCTCGAACAGAGAATTTGCTTTAGTTCCAAATCTTTCCCTCTACTACTCTAGACAAGATTTATGTGCTGTTTTTCGTTCTATAAAATAATAAATTTTCAACTAAATGTTCGAAAGCTTTTGTTTTGGTTGTGTTATAGACGTTTATCAACTCCGTGACACGAATAATAGAGGAATTATAACGCTCTTTTTGGTGCCATACATGAAACTATCCTCTTCTTTCTTTATTAAGTAAATAAAATTCGAAACAGCTTGCTCATACTTAGTGTGAGAGATAGTCGTGATTTTGATTTTATTTATTAAGCTTTACTAGAATAAATCTTACTTGATTGATCAATGCTATTTTCAGCATGACTTAATTGAGCATTTTTGTTGTGTTGATTGCTAAGCAAAATGATACTATAATTATATTCTTTCTGTTGTCTGTCACTTGGTCTAATTGTAGGCGTAAGTAGTTCTTCGCCACCATTTACTTTATCATTTGTTTCATCAGCCACTGCAAAGTCATCTAAATGGATAAAAATGTAGTGAAAATAGAAGAACAAATGGAAAGCGATTTTGTATGCTATTACCTTCTTCCTTTACAACTAGAAGGGGGCAACTAACGAGTGATTCAATTGTTGACTGTTCTTGTTGTAATGGATTAGGTTGATTCGATTCAGATAACGATAAAGGGTTTCGTGATTGAGTGGGCGATGACTGTAATATTGTATTATTGTTTTCTGACGAAGAGTCTAATACTTGTTCTGATAGTGATATCGTGACATTTGATACAGGCGCTTGTGTTATTGTGACATTTGAAATAGATTCTTGTGTTGCAGTTATCGATTGTCCTGACGGTGAATTTATTAGTCGTTGGTGTAACAATATTGTTGAATGAGTTGGTTTTGATGATTGAGTATTTAATGTGATAGTTATTTCTTCTGTCGCTGATGACTGATTATCATTACTACAAAAGGATGTTTGCAAAGAATTATTCTTAGCCGCATCCTTACTAGACATCTTTAAAGTAAATATTAGTTGACCATTAATAATTTCTTCTTCAAGTAAATCATCTTGAATCAATGAATCAACGTCTTGCCGAACACATTGATTATTTATGTATTTTGGGAAATCTCGATAATATTTCTCATAATGTCGTAGCATAAATTTTGAGGCAACATCTGTTAATTTTTTTATTGATGATGATTTTTGATGAATGTTTCGGTATTCAGCTAGTGTCAAACCCCATTTTTTCAATTTCATTTCCATTTCAATTTCTTCGTATGACATTCGTGTACAGACTATTGGTGGGGGAACTTTATGATATGCTATTTCACAATTAACAAGAAACCTGTCTTTATATAATAGACCATCGTGAATCAACGCTTGGACGCATTCATGAAAACGTTCAGCATGTCTTCTAAATGGTCCACATACTTTTAAATCATGACGATCATAACCAGTTATCATTGATGTTGAAAAAAATGTATAAGGATACGTTAATATTGTTTTACAGTAAGTTGTAGTAATGAAGGTTTGATTACGCCCTGTATTACTTTCAGCTATTATTGTATCAATATTGAATACTGATTTTATCGAATTGAAAATAAACAAATAATATTTCCAGGCTTCCTGGCATGTTGTCTTATCAATATACAGAACTGGCATACCTAAATAGATGTAAGATATGGAAGAGATAAAGTATAGATGACATTTTTGTATCACACATGTTTAGTAAAAGGATTTAATATGACACAAAGTTTGACAACGAGATGAAACGTCATTGATAAGGGCACAGTTTTAAAAATAAAGTTAATATAAAACTTCAATACATACTAGACTTAGTAGATTGTGTTGATGTGGATAAAAATAGCTGATTAAGTACTATAACTGTTGCAGCTATAAACTTTTGTGTTTTAGTATCATTTTCACCAAAATCATCATCAAAATCAATAATACTTTTCAATTCGTTTAAAACAGTGATAATGTTTTTATATAATTTAAGTAAAACACAAATACGTGGATAAATATCATTTACTTTAGCATAAAATGAAGCAATATGTCGTGGTAAGTCTTTGAACTGCTGGTTGAGCAACATATCACTTTGATCAGCAACTTTATTAAATACATAATAATAAGCACTATTTCTATCAACGGTTGCGTTTCTTGTTGTTCTTCCCGTTTCAAAAATTTGAGATTCATCTAAGTGAAATGAATAACAATATCATAAATAAATTTACAAGTATTCTAATAATTTACCAGTAGTATCGAAATGGTATTCTACTGATTTAAGTAAATGGCATACAATAAAAACATGAATAAAGGATGGTATAGCTACATGATCTAAATTAAATTCCAAATCATTTGGACGAGTTGCTACTTGATACCAAACAGGTAAAAATATCATGCGACTAAACAAACCATCTTGACCATTCCGATTTGACCAATGTTTCAAAACAGTAGCTAAATGTGTGCCTGTTGTACCACCTAAAATGGACAATTTAGCACCATTTATTTCAGCTGTAAGTGATGTTGCTCTTGATAATCCATGAATACTGTCAAATGATGCGCATAATAGTGAAATTTCTTCTGTTGGTTTCTCATTATAAATACCCCATTTTACGAATACACCATCTATTTCATCATTTATTAAGCATACATCACCGGCAGATAACAATTTTAATAAAGATAATCCATACGGGCCATTAGTCACACTGTTTCGTAGTTGTATATTATCTCCACTAGGTGGCATACTTTTTATGTAATCGTGTTTGAAAATTTTTGTGACTTTTATAGCTGCTGTCATTAAATGTTTTATATTTGGTGATTTTCCACAGCCTATATAATAAGAAAGCCAATAAGCGACCATTTTTCGAAATAGCAGTGGAACTGAATTTGCTAAAATGTTAGAGTGATACTGTGTTTCTGTGACCTAACCAAAAATCTTCTAAATGAGATTAGAGATTTCTAACTAGTTCCAAAATGGTCACACATAGTTTGATTTCACCATATTGAATCTAATATAAACGTTCAAGTTTTTATTTTCTCAGAAACGAGAGCCTACAAACTACAAAGAAAATGAGGGAAAAGAAAGACATTACAAGGAAGCCATATTGTACAACGTACCCGGTGGTCCAATTACAATACTGTACAAATTTAATGCCTTTAATTGTTTAAACATTGATACATATGTCGATGATTGAGCAAAATGTGATAATAAAGGTAGCAAAGCGAAGAAAAGAATGTCTGCATTAGCACCGACTTCTTTATAACGATTAAACATGGACATTTCGTTTTGACTTAATATCGATTCTAAGTCAAATTTAATTTTTGCACCAGCTTGAATATTGTCTTCTAATATTTTACCGTACTTCTTATCTGTTTTGAACGACATTGTCTTGTTTTCTCAAATTTTTCTGAATATCTAAAACAGATAATGCATATAGTAATGTATCTGTACGAAACCAGGTCTAGCCCCAACGCTGGCAGAGTACCGAAGTTCTTTCGTTACAGAAAACACAAAGGGCCCATGAATGTTTAATCAATTTTAAAACAGTCATACATGGTTGGCATCGACAGCTTTGGTAGTGTGAACAGGCCAAGGGGGAAAAAGCGGACTCCTGGACTCCCATGGACTCCTATCGACTCCTGGACTCCCATGGACTCCTATGG